CTTTTGTAGAATCCTCTTCGCAAAAATGTTCTCAGGAAAAGAACAGAAAACTTGTTCAGAAATATTTTTAGTCACAGTTAAGCCCTTATATTGTATCTGCCGTGACCCACTTGCTAGCGACCCGTAGGGTCGCTAGTATAAATTAAGCAGAAGTTATGAGTCTTCCAATCACGGTATATAACAGAAAAGTTAGTCTATTTTACGCAAGTTCTGAATTCATCTAAGAATATAGCGAATTACCACATCTTGCAAATTCAGTGTCGTATTTGGAATTCCTAGTTAACTTTTCGATCACTCGACGAAGTTTGGTAATCTAGTAGAACGATTGTAGGAAATACAAAATTTCTTTATGATAATCTGGGCCTTACCGATCATTAGAGTAATCGGAATGAAAAACTCTTTGAATGTATGATGGCAAACGATAAAAAAAGTATGTGTTTAGATATCCTATCCGTTGGAAAGCGTTAAGTGCTTGTTCGGAAACCTTGATGCACATCTTTCCAAATAGGTCCTTCTGTTGTTGTGAAAGAATTGGGTTCTGAAGCTCCTGATGCTAAATTACTTCAATCAGATGACCAGTATTTACAATTTATCGACTAGATCCTCTAATATTTCGAATGACCGCATTTTCCATTCAAAAATTTCTCTGTTATTTTTCTCTTCTTAGAGTAATGTTCATGTTGTTCTTTTTCAAAAGGATGGCATAGCAGAAGTTTCCAAGCCGCCTCACTAAAGAAATGATAACTATGTTCCGTTTTTTCTCCATTTTTTTCTCTTATCACCTTAATACCTGAATCTACGTTCTCGCTGCTTGCACGCCTCACAATGAGACCGGTTAGTAGGAGGAGCAATAGGCGGGTCCTGACCTCTGAGGCCCGGGGGTGCTAGAACCATCCTGGGTGCGAATGCTGGTGCGAAGTTGGTGCGAGGAAAGGTGCTAGGAACTCCTGCACGCCCTACCATCCCCTTTGCTTTTTATCCCGAAAAACGATATTCAGCTTGCATAGCCACCTGTGCGAGCTGCTCCCGGATATTTTACTTACGTGATCGAGCAGAAAATTACATAGGTAAAATATGCGACACATGGTAAACATGCCAATAATTTTGAGAAAAGCTCAAACATAAACTTTTTGAAACTACTCTGAATATTTCCACTTCACATCCCTTGTGAAGTGGAAATAATGCTCCCCATAATCTCTCCTATTATTTGTTCAAGTACATTGGTTGTTTATCTCAGATCAAACCAACAACTCGCTCATTAGTTAACCCTAAACAAACATCACAAAAAGGCACTTCACAGCGTTTAATTGTTCCCACATCAGAGGCTTAGCGTGACCCAGGTCTGCCGTAGAGGTCGTGAAAAACAATGACATGACCTGTTATTTCTGCCACATGAGAACGTCAGCAGATGACTTAAGGATCTATCACAAACATGGGAAGGAATTGCAGAAAACACCTTAAAATTTTGGATGAATTTGTTCGAAACAATAGCCATTAAACATAAAAATAGACACTCTCTTTCCTCCAGTATCTCAAACATTTTATACAGCACGTTATGTAGACATTTCTTTAGTAATAATAACAGACTTATATATTACAATCGTAAACCAAATAATTACAAACTTCCTATCCATGAAATTAAAAAATTCCAAAAATTCTTCATATTCTGCCCATTAGATAAGGCCAGCTCAAATTACGGTATAATTTGTAAGCGTTTTTACTTAACCGTTCTCATGCGAGAAATGGGAATAGAAGATACCAGCAATTTTCGGTCAGCCATTTACAACTATATTCCTGATACCGACCTTAACAATATAATAACTAAACATTTAAACTTTGTACGGAATTTGAATTTAAAACCTATGAACAATCCTACTGTTCCTAATATTTATTGGTTACCTAAACTGCATAAAACACCAGTTAAATTTAGGTTTATAACAGGAGCCTCAAATAGCAGTATAAAACCCTTATCTGAAGAAATTATGCATATATTTACATTTTTTAAAAAACATTTTAGGAACTACGTAAAAATAGTTCGACTTCATAAGAACAGTCTTGAAACATATTGGTCTATCAATGATATAAACATTTCCCACCAATTGCAAACTATAACTGATCAAAAGCTACAGCTTTTCTCAGCAGATTTTACAAACATGTTTACTAATATTCCCCATTCTGTCATTCTACACAATCTTACTGAAGTAATGAAAATTTGCTTCAAAAATAGTAATAGTAGATACATAACATGCAGCGACAGAACTGTTTACTATTCCAATACTGCTACTGATAAAACTGGACAAAGAAGCTATAAAATAGAAGATATCATTTATCTCCTAGAATATTTGCTTGATAATAGTTATAGCAAAATAGGACAAAACATTTTCAAACAAAAGATAGGCGTGCCACAAGGTGGCAATGCTAGCCCTGTCTTGGCAGATTTAACACTCTCCTACCTAGAATACGTATACGGCTCTAACCATCCTGGCACTGACATTTTGTTCAAACCTTTCAGATATATGGATGACCTACTGATTATTCATAACCAAAAGGAAAACCGCATTCTAAAATTACTAGATAAAACATATAATAATATTTTGGAGCTGGAAAGCACACACTTAAACAGTAGTAATTGTAACTTTCTTGACATGAAAATTATGATCAAAAATAACAGAATATACACGGAACAGTATAACAAAACTGATTACTTTGATTTTGCTGTAAATAAATATACTCATGGAAACTCTAATGTTAGTATTAAAATTAAAATAGCTATTATATACGGCGAGATCCTAAGAATCTACAGAACTTGCACAAGTTTCAATAGCTTTGAACAAAGATTATTGCTTCTGATGAATAAACTTTATGCACTTGATTATAGTGCTGATATTATTGAAAATGCATTTATAAAATGTCTCACTTTCAATAAATGTATTTTCCATAAGTATCCGGAACTTCATTCATTTAAAAACTCTAAACATTTTATAAAGTGCATAATTCAAAAACTTGATTTTTATGTCTCAGATCGTGGATCATAATTATTTTGCTCTACCCGAATGGTATATAAACCTTGAGGTATAAATACAGCAACACCCAAGGCCAAACCATTAGTCTTCCATTCAAGCCACTCTTCCCTACTGAAGAGCCTCGGGAGTGGTCTACTCTTCTTGATACCTGTATAGGGGTAGAGGCGAAACAGGCCATACTGTATATTATCAATGCTAACATTCTTCTATTAGCGTGACCCAGGTCTGCCGTAGAGGTCGTGAAAAACAATGACATGACCTGTTATTTCTGCCACATGAGAACGTCAGCAGATGACTTAAGGATCTATCACAAACATGGGAAGGAATTGCAGAAAACACCTTAAAAGTCCTAATTCAGAAAGCACATAACCTTAAGGCTAAAACTAAGGAATTTGTTTGGAAAAAAATCTTGGGAGAATATCGAATACTACTCGAGGGTAATAATTCTGTGTGCAGAGCCTGGCAGTTTCGGAGATCTCATTTTGGTACTGGCTGAAGTCTGAGGAAAACTTTGGCAAGATTTTGCAAAAGAAAGCTGAGCTTTCTGACCACACTTTGATTTCTATAAAGTTAAGCGCGAAGTATACAATAAAAACGAAAATGTTAGTGAAAACAAGGTTTCAATTATCTTTCTTTCTACTACCGATTGTGCGCTCTACAAAAACAGTCTAAATTCTAAACAACCTTGAAAAGTAACTATATGTAAAATCTGCATACAAATCGTGCAATATGCGTGCAAAAATCAAAGTTGTCAAACTCGCTTCTGTTTCTCACTTTCCGCAGCAGGCGGAAATTCGATTCTATAGGAATCATGCTTGATGATGGCTAGAGATGTATATAATACTAGACAAATAATTGCAGTTATCAAGGATCGCCCTTATTTTTTGCAACGGAAAAAAAATCAGTTGAAGATGGATCTTCACTGGATAGCGTAAACAGGCCCACATTTTCGCATCCCTGCTAAAATTTTTGCGGTAGCTCACACAATTTGTCCGCCTAGCAACATTGTGCCAGTTTTACAGAGTCGAATTGCTGGCACAGACTTTTTTTTAGCTGAGCGCAATAACATGCTCTTCAGTCTTCAATTATTGCACTCGCTTATCTCACATAATCCGCTCAAAGTACAAGTCATTTTCAATGATTCTCTAAGCCGATTCACGCTTTGGCTCCGACACATTCTACCCACCATGCTTTTCAGAACGAACAATCTTTAAGCTACCGCATCTCAGACAATAGGCTTTTCCTAACTCTTTATTTTATTTACAAAGTCAACTAATGTAATCATCACATGATCTTTATTCAAACATAGCATTACTCGTATTCAGCAGATATTTGTGGCCCTAAAGAGGGCCGTTGGGTTAGATTTGGCGCACGAGTGCAGCAGAGGAGTTTATTCCTTGTCGCCAGCAGTCTTCTTGGGCAGAAGGACAGCCTGGATGTTGGGCAGGACTCCTCCTTGGGCGATGGTTACACCGGACAACAGTTTGTTCAGCTCCTCGTCGTTGCGGACAGCGAGTTGGAGATGGCGAGGGTTGATTCTGGTCTTCTTGTTGTCACGAGCAGCGTTGCCGGCCAACTCGAGCACCTCAGCAGCGAGGTATTCGAGCACGGCGGCCAGGTAGACGGGAGCTCCTCCACCGATTCTGCCGGCGTAGTTGCCCTTGCGGAGCATGCGGTGCAGACGACCGACGGGGAATTGAAGTCCTGCTCGGGATGAGCGGGACTTGGCCTTGCCTCCGGTCTTGGCTTTGCCTCCTTTTCCACGTCCAGACATTGTAGTAGCGAGAACTGCGAGATACACTCACGGGTAGCAAGTGTGGGTGCGGGGCCCCTCTTATGTACAGGGTCGCGCCCGCGTTCCGCCCCTCAACCGCCGCAGAAACACCTGCGAGGGCGGGTCATCGCGACCAACCGCGTATAAATGGGCGCTCCGCGAATCACTCCTCACCCACTGTCCACTCAGTGAATTCAATCGTCATGCCACCAAAGCCATCAGCCAAGGGAGCGAAGAAGGCCGCGAAGACGCAGAAGGCGAGCCGCAGCGGAGACAAGAAGAAGAGGAGCAAACGCAAGGAGAGCTACTCGGTCTACATCTACCGCGTGCTCAAGCAGGTGCACCCCGACACCGGCGTGTCGTCAAAGGCGATGTCGATCATGAACTCGTTCGTCAACGACGTCTTCGAGCGCATCGCTGTCGAGGCGTCGAAGCTCGCCCACTACAACAAGCGCTCGACGATCTCGTCCCGCGAAATCCAGACCGCCGTCCGCCTGATCCTCCCCGGCGAGCTCGCCAAGCACGCCGTCTCCGAGGGCACCAAGGCCGTCACCAAGTACACCTCCAGCAAGTAAACGCCTTGCCTCCTGGTGCATGCACCCAATCTAACCCAACGGCCCTCTTTAGGGCCACAATTCTCAAGATTACCATGATTGCTTATAATAAAGTTTACGCGTTCCAAGAGCTGTTTCTGTAGGTCATAAGTTTGTGGTGATGAACGAAGACCTTAATGATAGTCGTGCATAGTAAATACATTGTCAAAGGTACTATAGCTTATTTATTCCTTTACACATTAGCTGCAGTTAGGTAGGAAACAGAGGGAACTGCCATCTATGCAGGTGTTTATTTTGTTCTTAGAATGCTCAAAGGGTGCTGCACGGCATTGGAAGGAATACTGTATGTTATCAAATTTGCTTCTCCTAACTAGGCAACATCAGTAATATGTTAATCTTTGTTTTTTACAAACGGATTTGTTCGGACATTGTTTAGTACAGCTAGCATCTGCTTAATCTTTCGCATAATACTCATAGAGCCGTCAGTTATAAATTGTACAGGAAGAGGTGGATTTTTCCGCTTTCCACAGCGTCCTCCATTGTTTGGCAAAGCTCCAAATAGGTAAGAACGACTTCAGAGTTCTCTGTTTGAAAATGAAAGCCTGTTGTAACTCAGGCCAAAAAATTCTCCAACTTTTGTTATCCTAGTCATACCTAGAATAGATACTTCTTCTTTCCACTTCAGGATTCGCTATGATTCATATAGCAGTTTAAAAGTTCCTTAGCAGACTATCGTCTGGATTCCAAGCGGCATCGTCGTTCATATTTCGGCGAGAACTAATGCAAGGATGGCGTATGTTCGGAGGGCCCAGAGACAAGGGATGGAATTGTACCGATGGTGGGAGGCCACAAAAGAAGTGGAACAAGGGTTGAGACAAAATTATCCTCAGGAGCTGGACTGATCGGAGGGCGTGCAGGAGTTCCTAGCACCTTTCCTCGCACCAAGTTCGCACTATCAATCGCACCCAGGAGGGTTCTAGCACCTCCGCATCTCAGAGGTCAGGGACCGCCCATTGCTCCACCCATTAACTGCCCTCATTGTGAGGTAAGCAAGTAGAGAAAACAGAGAATTAGAAATTGAAGTAATGAGAACGAAAAAATTGGAAAAAAAGAAGTTGTTTCATAGTTGAACTACATGGAAATAACTATGAACATGTGATTTTCACTGATTACAAACTTCAGTGATAAGTACGCTTTATTCAAGTTAGTATAAAACTTTAGTATGAATGCAGCGCCCAGTTCTTTTTTCAAATTGGCGGTTACCAGTTCAGATATAAAAAACCATCTCGAAATAAATGTTGCCACTCTCTGGATAGTTTGATTTGAAAAATTTGATTGTTTAGAATGAAAAATCGGCTGCTCAAAAATATTAGGTCGCTCCGAAAGTTCACGCAGTTTTTCAGACCCATGCACAAAACACTTAGAAGATAGACAATAAGCACTATCCGATGCAGAATTTCTTCTTCTTTTCAACGGCTATGTTTTCGCTACTATTTCGATAAGCACTGAGATAATCGCCGAAAACTAGAGCCCATCATTTTTACCATGTTTAAATTTCGCTAATTTTTAGAATTTTCATTTTGAGTTTATGAAGGCGCTCAAATAACCACCTTCTAGGGCAAACCTTTTGCAAATTAATGCAACTTTTTGCATTATTTCACCCCCTCTGTAGAAATTTGCTGAATTATTTCACGAGAGCATTGAATTTTGAAAAAATTGCAAGACACATAATTGCACCAAACACTGCGAAATCCCCAAAATATTAGGGTTCTGGAACTCGATTATTACTATCACTAGTATTACGAAGTAAGTGAGCGATTATGGCGTGAAAATGGATTGATTTTAAAAAATGGACCGTAAAACTGGAAATTACAGCGATTTTGTCTGCAAAAGTCACATGTCTCGCAAAGAAAAGGAAGCTGTCAGAAAGAGGAGGAAAAGATGCATCGAATGGTACCTAAACTGTTCAGCGTCTGGTTCTGCGAGGTTGATGAGCCAAATATAAAATTTGATCACTTCAGAAAATAAATTTCAGTAGTTCTAGAAAGCATGCCAGAGAGATGCAAGCGTGAATTTTCGGAGCGACCTAATATAAATGAAAATTAATCACTTGTGCATTTTCTTGAAGAAAATCGGTCATACTACTAGAAGATTTCGAAATTTACATATTGGGTGGCCAATTTAGATGCTGGCTTAGGGTATTCAGCGTTCGACTTCCCAAATGACTGTATTTATCGAAGGCTAGAAATCTACTTTTCGTAGATTCGACAATAGAAAAAAATTATTTTGTAACGAGTTTTCGGTTCCCTTCACTCTAATATGCTGTTCATATGCTTGGACGTTTGTACTTGGACGCTTGTTAGACACGTTCTCTTGTTGATTCGATCGCTTGACAAAGATTCCACTGCGCTTGCACAATCTAGAATGAGCGCACTTAGAAGGCGGAGAAAAAGGCGGAGCCGTTCCTTGACCTGTGAAGGTGTGATGTCCCTTCCAGGTTTCTCTGAAGGTGCTAATCACTCCTGCAAGGAAAGTCGGCGAGGCTTTGGGAACTCCTGCCACGCCGCCCGACTGATCAAGCGATTACTATTGTGCGAAAAGTAAAAATTAGCCCGAAGTAGAGAGAAGTTGATTTGACAACCAAAATTATCATTTGCGCCCGAGCTTGTTACTGCAACAAGTAAAACTCCCTTTTTATTTTAACAAAATATAGGAGCAAGCTTAACTTAGGTTATAGCTGTCAAGTTTTGGACAGTAGTACTGACCTATTCCCAAACCATCTGCTCTCACATCTGCCTGGCTATTTGCTCCCTTGGCGCCAAAGCTGTTGCTCAATAAATGAAGGAGTAGAGCATTGAACTTAGATTCACATACAGGATAAAAGCATGCCGCCTTAGTACATCGCCGCTGCAGTCATTTGTTATGTCGAAAAATAACCTATCAAAGGTCGGTGTTTCCTTTATTAGCGAATGTCTCCACGAGGGAGCACCATTCTCTTTTTATTATGTAAGCTCAGCTTTCTTCCACGAATAAATACTCCTTCCTCGGATAAAGCGCTACAGTTTTCTAATTCATAAAAAGCTGTGAAGGTCATGCACAATTCGATTAGCTTGTTCGATCACGTGAAATCTTCATAATCACGTAAAGGCCATTTATGCAAGGATTGAGGCGGTGCCTTCCATACAATGACGATGAATCATGAATTGTGAGATTGAAATAAGAGTCCTCTACAAACTTGTGATTGTGGGCGTAAAAGAGATATGTACTGTTAGTACCTGCCACCTCGATGGCTAGGATGATTAGGTAGTTTTTACGAAGATGCAAAGGTTCTGTTAGTTTTATTTATATTTCCATGCATTAACTTACCTTTTAATGGTTCTTGGACAATGTACAATAATTTGAAGGGAGGCTATAAAATTAGTGTATCTGAATTGAGTCTAAACCCTTTCCTTCATTTGCAGAACACGCTATGCTTTGTTGGATTCCCGTTGACCTTTTACTACGATAACAGCCCCACCTGCTGCGTATACGTTCGTTTTAGCGCTCGAATTCAAAAGACAACACTCCACATCTTCCAATGCGAAGAGATGTTTAGCTGATAGCAGGCTGTGATATTTTCCCACAGCATTGATAGCATATTCTCATGTCAACGTTAAGATTGACGATGAGAAGTGAAGTGAGTGACAGCTTGTTATCGTTAGGATACATTTTGAACGGAAATGACTTGGACAGTGCCTTAGACAATGTGGTTCAAGCCTGCAAGACCATCATACTGGTAAGATAGATGCAGTGCAAGAACAAACTAAGTAAGTGTAACAATCTTTAAAAAGCACTTGTGAGTAAAAAAGGCGAAGATCATTGCAGTTAATCTCAAGTGTTTATACTCGGATAAACCTTCAATCCTTGTAACTCTTGTAAGACCAGGTAAGTACGAAATGACAGTTGAGAAGTGCCAGAGGAGCTCACACTCAGATCAAAGCATCTTCTCATGTCAGCTCAGATTTGATTCAAACGGTACTTTTCTCATCTGTCAAAAATTTTCATGAAGTTGGCAATTACCTTTTTTATGAATTTAAATTGTAATGACGATGATCACAGGATCAAAGCCGTCCTGAGCGAACTGACTCACTATTTCTTTAATAAGAACACAAGAAAAATCCTAAACCCTTAATTTCGATATTGGCCGCTAATTTAGCGTCCGGCATTTTTCGACGACGGTCTTCACCAGTTTGCTGCGCATCTGATCTGTTCTTTCCTCTTCTTTTCAAGTATGAAAGACAGAACAATAAGGAACATACTCTTCATAAAAATATTTGTTTGGTTCTAGGATTGATACCTGAAAGCCTTGCTTAATACCGGAAAGCACTCAAATAGTATTTCACAGGCGCCTTATACAAAGACTTCATATCATTTCCACGTCTGCTTAAATTTGCCACAACATTTATTCATTGGTTCACTTAAGAGCACGATATGTGGCCCTAAAGAGGGCCGTTGGGTTAGTTGTTTGTCATCCTCAGATGAGAGCTTATCCTCCGAAACCGTAGAGGGTGCGTCCCTGGCGCTTGAGGGCGTAGACGACGTCCAAGGCGGTGACGGTCTTGCGCTTGGCGTGTTCGCAGTAGGTGACAGCGTCGCGGATCACGTTCTCGAGGTACACCTTCAGCACTGCGCGGGTCTCCTCGTAGATCAGTCCAGAGATGCGCTTCACTCCTCCCCTTCGGGCGAGACGACGGATGGCCGGCTTGGTGATGCCCTGGATGTTGTCCCGCAGCACCTTGCGATGGCGCTTCGCTCCTCCTTTGCCGAGTCCTTTGCCTCCTTTTCCACGTCCAGACATTGCTCGATCGGTAGCACTCACGAATGAGATGCCAACTGGTCGCAGCAGCTGCTTATATGCGCGTCGGCGGGGTCACCCCGTGGAGACCCCCCGCACAAGGTCAGCACTTGTCACCTCCTCCACCTACACCTGCTGTAGCGCTAATAGAGACCTTACTGCTCTTGTTTGAAAAGATTGTATGAGT